GGAAATGATGTAGGGAGCGCCGTTGATGTACATCAACCGGCACTGCGCGTCACCATTTTTAGGTTGCATGGCGATTCAACCCGACAAAAATGAGATGAGCTGACAAACGAAAGGCAAGAACTAACAAAATAGCAAAGCAGAAAGAAAAAGGCTGGATTACGTGTGCAGTGTGCTGCTAGACGTTCACGTGAAACACACGAAGAAACAACGACAGGGCAAAAAAGCTTAGCGGCAAAAGGGAAGGCTTCTTCTCAAACACGAGGGTACGTGAGAGCAACGACGAGAAGAAAAAGATGAATGCGGGGAGGATCTCTTTGCTGTACCCGCTGCAGATACTGAGTTGTTAACAAACAAAAATAAACAAATAATAGTAAAGAAGGCGTTTAATTATTATTATCGTTTTTTAATCCGGCATAGGGCAAGAAGTGTGATGACGCCAAGGGAAAGTAAAGGAGGGCAAAGAGATACACAATAGGGGCGCCCGGAGGACAGGTCTGTCCGCGTAGATATTTATATATATATATACGTTACTTCCTTTCTACTGAGCTGTTTGAAAGAGTGGCGAAACAGGATGATTGCAGTGTCTTCAAATACGAGCAACCACAACAGCGGAAAAAGGAGAACGGAATCTGTCTGAGTGCGAATGGGAGGGTGGAGGAAACAGGTGACTCCAGCAAAGAAATAAAAAATAAGGAAAGTCAAACAAACGTGCACTTCGTTAGAACAGTGACTGCGCGAAAGTAAACGGCAAACCAAACCAAAACAAAACAAGGGTATATATACACAAAAGAAAAGGAAAGGGAAGGGGAGGGCTCAAACGACAAAACAATTCAACAACAACAACAACAACAACAACAACAGGTAATGCGCACAGAACCAAAAAAAAGTCAAACAAGAAAACCCACAGCAGCGAACACGTCCACCGTTCTGCTGTGGAGTAGATGAGCTCCAGTGTGCAAGGGCGAGAAAGACGGAGAGGGTGAACGCGTGAGAAGAAAGTATATACTGCGAAGACTTGACACTTTGAGTTTACTTGCACTCAAAAGCAATCAAGAAAAGAAAGTATGCCGGCAAAATAACTCACTTTTACAGATGTGCTCCACCGCCGGTGAAGCGGGAACAGTCAAGCGAGGAAGAAATAAATAATAACAATAAAAATAGTAATAGGATAGTAGCAATCGTTACAATAAATAAGCGCTGACGAAGCCATGAAGTGTGAAGAACTCGTCTTCCCTTCTCTGCTTTTTTTTTTCCCCCGTGTTCAAATTTGAGAAGATCGCGACACCAACAAGTTGACCTCAAACTTGTCAAAAGTGTTGGATCGCACTGCTTATATATTCCCCCTAAATGCGCGCCTGCACGTTTCTGTGCTCAGCAAGAGGGAGAAACACTAAATGAAGATAATAACTATAAAAGAATGGAAGCAAATTGGAGAACGACTCTCTCCTTGAAGTTCAGATTAGAGGAGAAAATAAATATCGTTTTTTTAAATGAGAAACTCAATAATAATAATAATAATAATAAAGAAATATGAAATGCAACAAATATAAATGGAGCAGCGGCGATTGTCCACCACCCGGGAGGATTGGTGGGGGGGGGGCTTTACGTTATTATTATTAGTTTAGCTCCTATTTTCTCTGCGGGCGTGCACCTGTCTCTGAGCTCGTGGACTGGCCACAGGGAAAGCAAGTAGCAGAGCGTGGGTAGCAGATCGACAGAACGTGGGAAGGAGGCGCCGATAACACTCGGCCGCGATGAAACTACAATAGCAACCACAGCAGCAAAGTGATACCAGACACACGTAACTACGGCAGACGATATGGCAGGCACACACCTCGACTTAATGCAATTCCGTGAGACTCAATGTCGAGTGGGGGAAGAGAACGGCGTGAAGAAAAAATCGGAGCACCCACCCACGAAGAGAAGGGAGTGGAAGGAGTTATCGACCTTATGCACTCTCCGTGACGACTACACAGAAGAAACAAGAAGGGGAAAACAAGCACACAACAAGCACAACAACAACGGAAATGGAAAATGAGAAGAGGCACAAGAACGTGAAGAGATGCACACACACGCACACACGTGCGGAGGGGGTCGAACACGAAAAGTAAACACACTAATTGATAGAGCGACAGATATGTGATGAGAATAGAAAGTAGTAGTAATAATAATAATAGTTAAAAATAACGAAATAATAATAATAATAATAAAACGAATGAAAAGGGAAAGAGGATGCGTGGAACCTTACCGTATTCCAGATTAAATGCTCAAGAGATGAACGGAATGAAATACAGCGATATATATATATATGTATGTAATGAGGTAAATGGAGTTCTCTTCTTCGTCTTGGCTGAGGCTTGCACTCCGTACGGCCACGCGTTTTCCTTTTGGGTTTTTATTTTCCCACTTTTCTTCTTACAAATCCGCTACCTCACACTTCTGCAAAACTGAAGGAGTGTGCAAAGCGAGCTCCGTGAACGGCGTTGGCTTCACTCTTCGCTTCGCGTGCGCGTGTGGGGAGGCTCTGACCTGGTGGGAGGGAGGAGGGATGAGGAAAACAATGTCGTGTCGCCGCTCGCTCTACGAGCTGCCCAGCGGGGAGCAGCCTTTCAAAAGGAAACAAAAAAAAGGAAAAAGAAGAGGGCTGAACAAATAAAACTGCAGCAGCGGCGGCGGAGAGAGAAATGTTGGCGCGCCCTGCTGGCCTCCCCCCGGTAATCGTCCTACGCCTTGACAAAAACGGGAGAGGGTGGGGGAGAGAGCACGACGTCTATCCTCAAATGTGCGCAGAGGTGTCACTTAGGCCAAAAAAAATAAAAATAAATGACAAAGATAAAACAAACCAAGTTGACGCCGGGAGAGAGGGGGGCGGGTGGGTATCGCTAAGAAGAGCAAGTGCAGACAGAGATAGAAACACACCCAAACACACACGTCAAGCTATCGTCCTCTTTCTTTGGACCGGGAAAGCGGTGCGACTCAGAAAACAATAACGACGCCCACGAAGACAACGCAAAGAAATATATTTTGTTTATGGCTTCGAGCGCTTAAAGGGCCAGCGCTGGGTGGCGGATAAGTACGTCGATTCTTGGAAAAGGAGAAGCGTATGCGATGAGGAAAATAGCAGCAAAGAAGGCTTTAGAGCAGCGTAGCGAGCGCTGCCCCTTCCTTTCCGCAGTGAGAAGCTGTTTTCGTGTTGCTTTACGGTCTCCATTCTCCGACGAGGCACGCAACGCGCAGAAAATATTCGCAGCGCAGGCCGAAAGGAAGTGATGGCAGCATCACAGACACGGTGTTGTGCAGGAGGCATATACGAGGAGGGGGAATGGATATATGCATGTGTATGTATGTGCCAGCGCAACGTAAAGTAGAAATTGAAAGGGGAAAGGGCAAGAAGGAAGAGGGACCGATGCATTTCAAGGCTGCGGCGACGGTGAATCCTTATCGCACCTCTTGTACTTGAAAAAATACGTGTCGGTGCTTCTCTACAAACAGGAGGCACATCTTAAAGCTTTCTTTCGAGGTCAAACCAGACTCCGACACAAAAACATCTTCGCTCCATACATCGCATTCCTCGCGATGGCGCTGGCGCTCGACCCCTAAGATGAATGTAACCTGCCCCGCCTAGAGTCCACAAATAGAAAGACACGTTTTAACGTCCACCATCCTTCTTGTTTTTTTTTTTTTTTCGGTGGCGTGTAGGTGCTGCCACAACAACAGCAACAACATCGCTATGCCTTCACGCGCATCGGTGCGCACGTGCGAAAGTATGTAGTCGTGAGGAAGGTGTCTTGCGGCAACTTGCACGCATCTTCGACGACCCTGACCATGCACTCCGTGTGAACACAAGAAATAAGAAAAGACATCACAAGCATCAAGAGATTCACACACGGGAAGCACAGAGCAACAATAAGTCACAAAGCGCCCAGTACACACACACACACACACACACAATGAGGGTGGCGACGCTGATCTTATTCGCCCACAAAGCGCTCATGTAGCGCAACATTTCACATCAGGCACATCTGCACGCATACCAGCGAGGGTTAAAGTACCAACACGGTGAGCAACGTAGGGGCCGGCGGAGACTGCATGCTGACATGCCGGTGGCTGCTGGCCAACACCACGGTCACCGGTGGACGCTTGGCCGAATGGACAAGCGCGCTCTACGTGAAGACTGCGCTTTGTCCTCTAATGAGAGATGCCCACCGCTGCGCTTGCTGTTCGCCGCTCCTCTCCTCCACTCATACTTCTGCTGGTGATCCTGACAACAGAGAACGCACAGCAGGTGATGCAAAAGCCAATAAGGCAACACGAACCGCGGACCTATAGAAAACATCCTCATTCCCTTTTGTTGCTTGCAGAGGACAATAACACAGATATCATGAAGACTGTGTAGAGCACAGCTCACGCCAACGTTCGTCCGCCAGGCTATGACTATGCCTCCTTCGCGGGTACACAGCGGACTGGCAACCATCATAGCGAAGGACCACATGTCGTTCAACTTGCCATGTGTGGGAGCAATTACCAAAAGGCAGATGACATACAAAAAGGAAACCCTTCGTCTCCATTGTCCACCTGCGTCCCCTGACCCGCCCGCCCCAACCCCCCTAGCGACGGACGCCAAAAAGAATACAGGAGAAATCCGCAGCCAAAGCCGTCAGCTCCGCACGTCGCCTATAAAAGGGCGGCCCACAGAGGCTCAACACATCCACAATCCCTCATTCCACCCTCCGCTCAAATCTGCTTCCCTGCAGCTCCCTACGCCTCCACAACACCACCACCGTCAACGCCCCCCAAAAAGCGCCCTCAACACCCTCTTCCCAAACCGCCAATGATCATCATCACAATAAACCACAAACCCACAAAACAGCAACAAACAAAAGCACGCAAAAAAAGCAAACAAGAGTCCCTCCCTCTCTGTTCAACAACGAGCAATAATAACCCCTCGTCGCACGAGCCACGCACCTCCAACAACATCCAAAAAATCGCGAGCAGCAGCATCAGAGAAACGACAGTTCTACAGTGTAGTGAATGTGTGCATCACGCGACGCCCCACGTGTGGAGCGCTCAGTGGCAGCGAAAAAGAGTCTCATCACGACTGCAGAGCGGCCCGCCAGTCGAGCTGGCAGCCGGGCA